ATATTCCTTATTACGCTCTAAGTTATTAATTAAAGAACCTCTCAGTCTCAACCCTCTCAGATTTTCACGCTCCGTTCATTTTTATAGCTTTATTATTTTTATCTTTTTACTACACTTACTAACACGTGCTTTACAAAGGAGCAATAGTTTTGCGGAGGCATTCTAGAACGGTATATATTTTAGCTTTCAGTTTCTGTTTCATTATCTTAAAATTTATTCCGCTTTTATTTTTATTTCCACTCTCGATTCCTTGCTAGCAGTCCGGTTAATTAGTACCTTTAGTGGGTCTCATTTAATCATTAGCTCTAATTAAAGAACCTCTCACCCTCTCAGAAAACTCCGTTTGGAGATATTCATATTCCTTATTACGCTCTAAGTTATTAATTAAAGAACCTCTCAGTCTCACCCTCTCAGATTTTCAACGCTCCGTTCATTTTTATAGCTTTATTATTTTTATCTTTTTACTACACTTACTAACACGTGCTTTACAAAGGAGCAATAGTTTGCGGAGGCATTCTAGAACGGTATATATTTTAGCTTTCAGTTTCTGTTTCATTATCTTAAAATTTATTCCGCTTTTATTTTTATTTCCACTCTCGATTCCTTGCTAGCAGTCCGGTTAATTTAGTACCTTTAGTGGGTCTCATTTAATCATTAGCTCTAATTAAAGAACCTCTCACCCTCTCAGAAAACTCCGTTTGGAGATATTCATATTCCTTATTACGCTCTAAGTTATTAATTAAAGAACCTCTCAGTCTCACCCTCTCAGATTTTCAACGCTCCGTCATTTTTATAGCTTTATTATTTTTATCTTTTTACTACACTTACTAACACGTGCTTTACAAAGGAGCAATAGTTTGCGGAGGCATTCTAGAACGGTATATATTTTAGCTTTCAGTTTCTGTTTCATTATCTTAAAATTTATTCCGCTTTTATTTTTATTTCCACTCTCGATTCCTTGCTAGCAGTCCGGTTAATTTAGTACCTTTAGTGGGTCTCATTTAATCATTAGCTCTAATTAAAGAACCTCTCACCCTCTCAGAAAACTCCGTTTGGAGATATTCATATTCCTTATTACGCTCTAAGTTATTAATTAAAGAACCTCTCAGTCTCACCCTCTCAGATTTTCAACGCTCCGTTCATTTTTATAGCTTTATTATTTTTATCTTTTTACTACACTTACTAACACGTGCTTTACAAAGGAGCAATAGTTTGCGGAGGCATTCTAGAACGGTATATATTTTAGCTTTCAGTTTCTGTTTCATTATCTTAAAATTTATTCCGCTTTTTATTTTTATTTCCACTCTCGATTCCTTGCTAGCAGTCCGGTTAATTTAGTACCTTTAGTGGGTCTCATTTAATCATTAGCTCTAATTAAAGAACCTCTCACCCTCTCAGAAAACTCCGTTTGGAGATATTCATATTCCTTATTACGCTCTAAGTTATTAATTAAAGAACCTCTCAGTCTCACCCTCTCAGATTTTCAACGCTCCGTTCATTTTTATAGCTTTATTATTTTTATCTTTTTACTACACTTACTAACACGTGCTTTACAAAGGAGCAATAGTTTGCGGAGGCATTCTAGAACGGTATATATTTTAGCTTTCAGTTTCTGTTTCATTATCTTAAAATTTATTCCGCTTTTATTTTTATTTCCACTCTCGATTCCTTGCTAGCAGTCCGGTTAATTTAGTACCTTTAGTGGGTCTCATTTAATCATTAGCTCTAATTAAAGAACCTCTCACCCTCTCAGAAAACTCCGTTTGGAGATATTCATATTCCTTATTACGCTCTAAGTTATTAATTAAAGAACCTCTCAGTCTCACCCTCTCAGATTTTCAACGCTCCGTTCATTTTTATAGCTTTATTATTTTTATCTTTTACTACACTTACTAACACGTGCTTTACAAAGGAGCAATAGTTTGCGGAGGCATTCTAGAACGGTATATATTTAGCTTTCAGTTTCTGTTTCATTATCTTAAAATTTATTCCGCTTTTATTTTTATTTCCACTCTCGATTCCTTGCTAGCAGTCCGGTTAATTTAGTACCTTTAGTGGGTCTCATTTAATCATTAGCTCTAATTAAAGAACCTCTCACCCTCTCAGAAAACTCCGTTTGGAGATATTCATATTCCTTATTACGCTCTAAGTTATTAATTAAAGAACCTCTCAGTCTCACCCTCTCAGATTTTCAACGCTCCGTTCATTTTTATAGCTTTATTATTTTTATCTTTTTACTACACTTACTAACACGTGCTTTACAAAGGAGCAATAGTTTGCGGAGGCATTCTAGAACGGTATATATTTTAGCTTTCAGTTTCTGTTTCATTATCTTAAAATTTATTCCGCTTTTATTTTTTTTCCACTCTCGATTCCTTGCTAGCAGTCCGGTTAATTTAGTACCTTTAGTGGGTCTCATTTAATCATTAGCTCTAATTAAAGAACCTCTCACCCTCTCAGAAAACTCCGTTTGGAGATATTCATATTCCTTATTACGCTCTAAGTTATTAATTAAAGAACCTCTCAGTCTCACCCTCTCAGATTTTCAACGCTCCGTTCATTTTTATAGCTTTATTATTTTTATCTTTTTACTACACTTACTAACACGTGCTTTACAAAGGAGCAATAGTTTGCGGAGGCATTCTAGAACGGTATATATTTTAGCTTTCAGTTTCTGTTTCATTATCTTAAAATTTATTCCGCTTTTATTTTTATTTCCACTCTCGATTCCTTGCTAGCAGTCCGGTTAATTTAGTACCTTTAGTGGGTCTCATTTAATCATTAGCTCTAATTAAAGAACCTCTCACCCTCTCAGAAAACTCCGTTTGGAGATATTCATATTCCTTATTACGCTCTAAGTTATTAATTAAAGAACCTCTCAGTCTCACCCTCTCAGATTTTCAACGCTCCGTTCATTTTTATAGCTTTATTATTTTTATCTTTTTACTACACTTACTAACACGTGCTTTACAAAGGAGCAATAGTTTGCGGAGGCATTCTAGAACGGTATATATTTTAGCTTTCAGTTTCTGTTTCATTATCTTAAAATTTATTCCGCTTTTATTTTTATTTCCACTCTCGATTCCTTGCTAGCAGTCCGGTTAATTTAGTACCTTTAGTGGGTCTCATTTAATCATTAGCTCTAATTAAAGAACCTCTCACCCTCTCAGAAAACTCCCGTTTGGAGATATTGCTTATTACGCTCTAAGTTATTAATTTTCCTTGTGTTTGAATCTTGTCACTTTTTAACTGTTTTAGTTTTTGTTATTTTCGGTCGATTTCTGCACTTTTACACTGGGTCATCATTCATAATTTCTGGGATTGAGACGACTTATATCAGCATTAAAGGAAGAGTTTGCTTGTCTGACTTACTTCATTAGACACTTCTGGTCAAGAACTGAACAAGAACCACATTTGAAAACTGGAACATCTGAATGACTCCGCAACCCAGGAATAAACTACTCAGTTATTATCGCTCAATAATCGGTTTGGTATCGACGTTACATACTATATTTTATTTTATTAAAAAGCTGATTTTAGAAACCAGGGAATTAAAGTTACCCTCCTAAGGCTAACATTAAATCGCTGATTTTATTTATATATCACTTTTTTTTGTTCATTCTTTTCCTTCAAAACATTCCAGTACATTGTGCAGAAAGTTGGAGATGAAGCCGTAGTACGTACATGTAGCATTGCACTGGATCGAACTTGCAGAGTGTGGTTTCCTCCAGTCTGCGCCGCGCGCTTATATAAACATACGCGGCGCAGATCGACTGGTATGGAGGAGATTGCACTGTGTAGGCTCCGGTGTAGTGTGATATGTATGTACTACGGCTTTACAAATTTTGGAAGCATGTAGGGATATATTTCTGATACCAATCGTATATACTAAAATACTCTAGCACAATTGTAACTGCAGTTTTACAGAACTCTAAATGCTTAATGAACACTCTTGCAGGTACCACCCGTATTCACACTCAGACCTGAGTTTAGTCATTTTCCGATACGAGATCGGGGACGGGTTCTATAAACAAACAAACAAACAAACAAGTATATGAAGTGGGTACTTCTCGGAAAGGAAAAATTTAGGCAAACACGATGTGACTATTTTTGGGTTGATTTAATACAACTGCAAAAAATTATTCAAACTTAAGCAAAAAAGTCAAAATTTTTACCACTTTTTTGGATTTTTACCTCAGAACAAATAGAGGGATTTGTTTTATTTTTATACAATCTTGTGCGGCTGTCTTTTAGCTATCTTTATGCAAGTTTTGCCGACATGCCAACAAAATTAACTTGCTCAAAATATCAAAAAACATGGTTTTTTTTGGCCTATTTTTGGCCCAAAAATCGGTTTTTTGCGATTTTACCCCAGAACAATCAGTCCAATCATCTTGAAACCACTTTCAATCGATTCTACGGTCAAAAATACGTCTAGTAAGGTGTATCTGGGGTCCCTAACGTATCGAGCAGACAATGCCCGTAAGAGCCTCTACTATATAAGTCTGCAATCCGCTTGTCACAATTAATGACGTGTCACTCATTGTTTATCTAACTCTGCGATTTATAGCGGGAAATACACGTTGTGAAGGAGTTGGGCAGTTGCCTATAAATACCTAATGCCTAGAAGCGGATTGGATGGAAATTGTCACGTGATTACGGTTCAGAGTAGAGATTGGCTCTACTCAAAAAATTTGTGGGGAGGGTGTGATAGTTCTAATTGTCGGGCCCAGTCTATTGGCAAGCACTGATCGGGTGACTAGGAGGTGAAAATTTACTGATATTTATTTAGCTGAATTTTAGTAGACTTCTCGGGGCCCACAAATTCCCAAATCCAAATTAGATGATTCGTGATCTTATTATATTGGAAACATTTTATCTTACGATTACGTCTATTACATACTGCAACAGGCGAATTGATTACTTTGACCAAAATTGAACGAAAATGTGAACGGGATAATTGTCAATAGAGAAGAAATCATGATAAATTTGAGCTTTACCTATTTTATAGCGGCCGGTCCGTCTTAAAACTCTCGCCTACCAAATCCTGGGAGAGTTAAATATTACCTATCATATTTAATTCAGGCAGCATGGTGAAACTGAACAAATCTTGCAGATTCCATAATTAATTCTAAAGTATCAAAACGTTTGGACTTGTAAAAAGGGGCGCACACTGACCTAGAAGTTACGCTGCTAATACTGAAGAAGGTTTCTGCAACTATAAACTCCCTATGCTCCGTTTAGCACACGGTTCCTATGTGATCTCCTGGGGTTTATCTCCGATTACCAACTGAAAGATGTAGTTTGACTTTAATTCTTTAATCCAAAACTTGATACGTACATTAATACAGCAAGATACTCTGAACAGGAGTTCACCCGGGCCCTTGCCCGACCTTGTTTTAGAAAAAAATGGGCGAAAGTGTGCTAGGACCCGACCGTGTTAAACACCCCATTTTAAAAATATGGCTGCCTCCAATTTCAAGTTGCTCAACAGTGAACCTAACAGTACGTCATGACTCATGTGATGGTAAGGAAATGTTTCGATAGTAAAATGGATCACATCGTGACGAGAAAATTTATTTTTGATGAAAATTTCATCCAGAGCAGTTTTAAGCAAAACCAACAACGTACCTCGAGTTTGTCCTATCGTCAAAGTTACAGCGAAGTCCTCATCACACATCAGTACACTATCCTCCAGCAATCTCCACCTGAATAAGACATGCTTTGTTACAAAAACGTCTCGAAATATCGACAAAACAAATGTACCAAGTTTTATACCTGCGTGTCGGGTGCTGCCTCTAAGTTCCAGTCTCTCGTTCAGGCTATCCATGTCATTGTCAACTGTCTCATGATTCATGATACCTAATTTTTTTAAAGTTTTAAATATTTTTTTGATATTTTAAAATATTTTTAGTTTTTTTGTTTTTAAGGCATGCATTTTATCGAGATCATGCATACATATATCTTTAAATGCTATTCATTACATCCTGGCTTTATTACCATTTAACATTTTCCGAAAAGGCACAGATAAATCAATAACGTAGTTACATGAATACCTAAGTAAGACTATGAGACCTAATTACTAACTATGCTCGGCATTGATTAGAGAGTAAAGAATGTTACAATGTAGATATCTATCGATCTCCTTTGTATTGCTCACAGTGTACGACAATAACCTAGCAGATGCTCCCTTTTTAGGATGTTTACCGCTTCTACTACCGATTACCATCGCTGCGCCTGAATCAGCCAGCTTGACCTTGCATGGTACAATTTGACAAGCATTGACGTGATAAAGCTGCGCCTTTGTATCCAACTCCCATTCTGAGTTGGACTGATCCGTTGCACAGGGCCCTCTCTTGGCTTCACAGAACCTGACAACAAAGCAATGCCCAAATGAGTTCAAAACAGTCAACGAGAACTCTTCACACTGTTCGCACCCATCGTTGCTTCTCACCGTTTCAACCACACCAAGGTACCATGGTGTAGAGGGGTCATCACTGTAGAACACTGCTATGAACTTCTCATCGACCAACCCATCATAAAAGGAACCCGTCAAATCAACTATATCATGCTCACCCGCATCATCACTACCCGAAGTAACACTTGCACGATGCTTAAACCCCTTCAACTCTGCGTGCCTAGCAGAAGCCTTCTCGACGAACTGATCCACCGAAATCACCGGTGCAGGCACTAAACCACTCCCATCTCCATCTACAGACTGTAACCTGAGAATACTCTTTAGGTTACTGATACGCTGCTCTAACGGCACAGGGTCATACTTTCTGGTAGCTCGATTCCAAATCCTCTGCTTAAACAAGTCACCATGACTCTGATCAGCTGAACCAATGCAGAGAATGACCTTCTTCTGATACTTGATCTCGTTCCAAAGATCCTTCATCAGAGCCTCAGACCTACCTTCATACCTACCCACCATGATCTCTACATCCTCCTCTGTTTGGCAGGGGCCTCCATGATCCTTTACCACACTAACCAACCCAGCCTTATCACGAACTTCCTTCATTCGCTTCTTTTTCTGCTCGTACAGGTGGAGAACCTTTTCCTGTTTAAGCTTCTTGCGATCATCGTCTCTGTGCTGGATATACAACTTAAGTGACGCAGATTTCTTAATCAGTTTTATCATTTTGCCAAACTGATCAGCTGTAATAACACCTGAGAGAAGCTTCTCGTACAAAGGACTCTTCTTGATTACCTGGTGCTGGGAAAATGTTTCAATGTTAGCAGTAGGTCCTCGGCGATAGCTTTGTCTTAGCGTCCCAACACTGTGCTCACAAGGCAGCTGGGTCGTGGCAGCCATATCAATCTTCTCTGGATTTATTGCCAGCTCTCTACCAACCACTGAATCTGGACCTCCATAATACTCATCCACCTGCCTATCTGTAACCATAAGCAAGCGCTCACAAAGGAGTTTGACCATCCACTCAACCATCTTACTCTCAATCTCGCCGTTAACTATGCCACTATCTAAATCATCAAAAATCTTATCAGCCATGCGAGTATATAGAACCTTGGAACTACGAGTAAGCTGGGGGAAATCAGATAAATGAGGGAGACGAGATTTAGTAAACAACGAACTAGGATCAATAGTCAGCTGTTCTAAGTCATGCTTGAGGCTGGGATAGTAAGAAAATAGCTGACTATGCGTCAGGAGAGTATGACCGAGCCACGTTTCTGCACCGACGGCAACCAAAAATGGGGCATAGATGTGATAAAATATCAATGCGACTGAGATAACAAGCTCTATAAAGCAAGGGCACTTGATGTAATACTCGCAAGATTTAAACATTCTATTATCTTTGTGTATCGATGAAATGAAATTGTGCACATTATCAAAGTTAAATGCAAGTATGAAGCACATTTCAGACTCCTTTCCGAATCTAGAACTATTAGGATCAAAGAAAGTGTCTTGAGGTTGTTTATTAGCAAATAAAAACTCGGTAAAATCCTTTTGGCACGACCATGATTGCTCTTTTTGTCTATATAGTGACGAACCTAGCATACTAAAAAGAGCGTGCAACATAGTGTAAGTACATGAGCGGCTTGAACTAAAGAAAGATGAATTAAAACCTTTGTCAACATATCGCTTTATATCAAGGAGTGATTCAATCGCATGCAACTCCTTATCTATTTCAGAATCAAACGCCGGACTAACGTGAGCATTGCAATGGATGTAAGTTGGCCGACTATCATGACCAAGTGAAACTTTAAGCTCGGAAACTTTCTCACTGACAGGCTTCATCTCGCCACCTAAGTCTGTTACAATGTAATCGATATTAGAAAATACATCTTTGGTCGAACTGAGGACGTCTTCATGGCTAACTGTATCAGAATCAAGAACGGCAGCATTACGTAAGGTAGAAGTTACAGCCTTGAATGAAGAATCAGTATCACTCTTAACCATCTCCATAAGCCCAAGCTGGCGATAATGCGATGTAACTTTGCTTGATACGGGGTCATTTACAGCGTTAACCACGCCAACTGTCATTACTTTGCCCTTTTTAATACTAGCCCCATCATACATGATGGTCGATGTTACAAGATTTGGGCTTTTCAGCTCTTGTGCAACAGACTGAATAGCTAAGGGCGTGTACACATTGGCCTCAAACTTACGCAGATAGCCTTGAGTTGGAGCTGTATTCTTAGTGATCTTATGCATTGTTCTTTTGGCAGGGATACTGCTCGTGCTGCTGCTTGGATTTGGGTAAGTGGGGCCAGGATCTGATTCTGATACATTACCTTTAGTACTATCACTAGGCAACATCTGACGTGCTCGCTTATTAGAAACATCGCTACTTAACTCCCATTCCTGATCAAAGACGTGATTTCCTAAAAGTACTAACGTTTCAAAACATTTCTCTAGCGAACAAAGACCAACGTGTCTTAAAATGGACAACGCAATATCAATCTTAGGATTGATAGATTTGCGACTACTTCGCATAGGAATCTGGTTCGAAAGTTTCGTATCAGCAGCATCTGCTCTATCATAGGATTTAGAGGCCTCAGAAATACGGAGCTTAAAATCAGGGTCATTTGCAATTCTATCTACTTGGGCTTCTAAATCTCGGTATTGGCAAAGCTCATCATCGAGCACTTTGCATTCATTATTGGAATCCCTTAACTTAGCCTTAATATCACATAAGCTAGCCTTGAGGTTGTCAGAATCTGCCAGCAATTCTGCGATGCTCTTATCTTTAAAGCTTATCTGAGATTGGAAGTGTTCTTGCTTGTGCAATAGAACGTCGATATTAGCCTTAAGCATCCCATTTTCTAGCTGTAGCTGCTTATTATCGGCCTTATGCTTCTCTAAAGTCGATGAAATGTGCTGACAACGTGCAGATGTTATGAGCCTGGCCTTAATTTTGCTTGACACGACTTTTTTTCGAACCAGATCGTATTTGAAGGAGGAATGCCATGTCTGAACTGCAACGTTTCTGAATACCACACTGCTCCTAGGTTTACTAACTCGCTTTCGCTTAGAACTATGCGGAGTTTGAACCGGGGTACTATGACTCAATCTAGGCTTTTTGGTACGGACAGCCGGAGACGCATTATCTGAATCCTTTATGCATGTGCAGGCTACAAAGTTGGCTATATCGAACGACTGAGAAAAGAAACAGTTCCGTGACTCAGGAGTTCGGCACTTAAGAAGATATTTATGCATCTTATTCCACACCTTATCCAAAACAGCACGTGTAATATCCTTGCATTGAAATAACACAGCAAGAAAAGACAGTAAATGATCTCTAGAAAAATGTATAGCGCTAGATCTTTTGTACTTTCCTACAAATGGACCAAACTTTCTACTAGCAGGAGGAATAGCGCTTCTCTTAAAATGAAAATGCAGAAGGTAGTATATGTACTCTTTATCATTAAGTAAAGGAGAAAATTTAGCCAAAGCCTGATCAAAGCAAAGAGGAGGACTTGAAAACATGTGCATATAGTGAAAGTCTGGGTACAATTCCTGCATCTTACTGTATACGATATTAAAGGCGTTATCAGACTTACAAATGGACAAAAGCTCCTGATTGGCGTCTTCCCATAACGAGAAATCTTGATGAGACATATAACTATCCAGGAGCCAACAAAGCGCCTACAACTACAAGCAAACCAAAAATTTATAAGTAATGTAATTATGGCTGTCTAGTCTTGCATATAATTAATGTGGGTCCACAAGCTAAGGAATTAACGTCAATATCTTACAATAGAAATGCCATGGCCAGAAAGCAAAACTAATAAAAAAGGCTACTATAATAAGTACATTTACTTCAAATCATGCTAAACATAAAACTTAATTTAGCAACAATGACAGGAAAGTTAAAACACGGTGATGAAACTTATAAAATTAAAATCCACTAACTTATCTAGTAATTAAAATACAAAGAACTGCAACACGGCAACAAATCCAAACAAAAATATGAAATCTTATTCCTACTTGCAGCTCCGAAATGCAGCGCAAGTGACGTGACGTGTCACTCTAGCGCTCGATTTATTTTTCTTTTTTCGAAGGGCATGAGGACAGTTACGTGATAATTTCAACTGCGAGCGCACTAGCATTGGGTCACGTGAGCGAGGTCACGTGACCAATCGAAAAAAAGTTTGTGCAAATGTATACTTTTCTGAAAGATCTCATTAAACCAAACAAGATGATGTAAGTTTTATTTCGCTACGCCGTAGTTTGTGAATATTGTGCACCCCCTAATGAAAGCACTCTGGCCAAGTCAGTGGATTCTTTTTACCTAATTTTGCCTCATCCCATTAAGGAACGCGCGCTGGGTAAAAAGAAACCTAGTCAGAGTGGAAGTCGGCGCCCTCATTAAATTTTTGGAGAAAATCGCTCGCCAAAATCCAGTGCCTTGTAGGATTTCATCCTATATACAAGGCACATCGCGTTTACCTAGCTAACCAGGTCATTTCCGCCTCCGGCGGTCGCGCGCTACTGCAAGCTTACCTGAGGACCCCAGGCTTTAATGTTGTTAATAGAGATTAGGCGGAATGACAGGCTGAGCGCGGCCCAGTAAAGAGCAACACATCGCGCCACAAGCCAAATATTTATCAACATCTTGACTAGCTACGCGGTCCTTTTCCGCATGCGCTCGCGCTGTGCTCAAAAATTGACGTCGCGTCGTCAATCAATTAACATCAAGATTTTAGTTTTACATTTGACCTTTATGTCAAAAAATCTCTGAATTTTCAATCGGTGGTCGATGTTACCTGAGGACCTCAGGCTTCGTCCTTACTTCGTCACAGGACGATCGGAGCTCGACGAGCGTAGAGAGTGCTGGCGTCGTCCTGTGATGGTCGACGTATTTTTGCTTGCTGGGATCCGGCCGAATGACGCCACATGCAACGTGTAGGGTAAAACTAAAAACGCTTCCCTATATGAGATAATATGACAAAAATTGTTTTGGTCACGTGACCAGTCAATGACATTGATATTTCGCTGCTGGCGGTTTGGTGGAGGGTTAGGGTCAACGTTTATACATTATAGGGTCAAAGTTAGGACTAGAGTTGTACACTATTGACATTGTGAGGGTAATGGTTAAGGTTTATCACTAGCGACCTTTTCATCTGACCACAATATCGCAAAATGCTATTGGCTATGTTGTATGTCACGTGACAAATTTAGCCGAGGGTCGGAAGTCGGAAGTCGGAACTCAGTGGACTCTGTTGGAGTCCGGCGGACTCCGAGCGGAGTCCAAGCTCCGCCGGACTCCGCCGGATTCAAGTCTGGCGGAGAGGTCCGGCGGAGTCCGCCAAGCACTCCGCCGGAGTCTGCGGCGGACCGGAGTCCGCCTAGTGGCTTAGTCCGCGGCGGACACTCCGCCGCGGAGCCGCTCGGAGTCCGCGGCGGACTTTAAAGTCCGCTCGGAGTCCGCTCGGCTCCGCTCGGAGTCCGCCAAAATGTACTCGAGTCCAGTGTAAATACATTTTGGCGGAGCACCGCCGGAGTCCGCTCGGAGTCCGGCGGCTCCGCCGGAGTCCGCTCGGAGTCCGGCGGCTCCGCCGCGGACTCTACTCCGCGACGGATAGTGCCTCGGTGAAGCTATTTCGCTCTTCGGAGCAGCGAAGGAAATAAGTGCACACACAGTTGACAGCATAGGAGCGCCTTTCTTGAAATTGAATATACTGTGGGGTGTTTGGTTGAATATCAAGTGAGCGGTGGCAGTGAATATGGAGGCTCTGGTGATTTTGAGGAATTACAGTTGAGTAAGGAGACAAAATTTCCATTAGATGATCTTTGAGATTTGTTTCATTGATATTGCTGGAGTCGGTGATTTCATTGCTTATTTCAATGATTGGCATTTGAGAAAGATTTTTGACTAATTTCGACCTCTGTTTTGAATACAAGTCACATATGTAAAGAACATGCGACTCGTCTTCGATGGTCTCAACGCCCATACTTGATTGGCACCAACCACATAGTCTTTGCTCACGGGGTGTGTTGGAGTATCTGCCTCTTTCAATATGGAGATCATGGGCGCTGATTCTAAGTTTTGTGGTGCTGTAACGACGAGAAAAGCCTTTGCATAAGTATAGTATATATATATGCATAGTATAAGTAGGGCTCTCGGTTGAAGGTGTGTTTGATTGAGTGATAGAATGAGAGTTTAGAAGAAGTAGATTTTTGGTATTGCCAACATTTTTTGAATTGATTGGTTAGAGCTTCGATGATTTTAGGAATTCTATACTTTTTGCTGCATAGTGGTTTGATGGATTGACTAAAATTTGACTGATTTATGAGGGAGTCTTTTAATAATTTGTGATCACTTACAGGGTTGGGCGCGGCTTTGTTAGCTGCATTTGTATTGAGAATTCGGTGCGCAGTTACGTGATATAGTTTGTAAATTTCATCTAGTTCAAGGAGTGGTTTTATGTTGTGTTAGTATATATACTATGTATTGTGCCTGAAGGGGGATATTTAAAACATATAAGTGATACGAAAGATTGTATTAGCAGGAGCTTTCAAAATACTTGTGTAAATCGTTTTCAACTGAGGATGATGTTGTGAAGGGTGATTATATATGATGTAGTGGTGTCAATGATGAGTGGTGTGTGACGTGAAAGGGTGGAGTGGTGAGGGTGTTCAGATTACATTACAATAACATTAAAAAACTAGGCTTGTGAGGTAGATGAAAAGGAAATGCCAGATGGCCTGGTCTTGAGGGATGAAGCGATCTTTGGAAGGATGGGGTCCCATAGTGAGCTACATTTAGGGGCACGATCAGTACGGTTCATGGAGGGTTGTCTTATCTGGATAGCAGCATGTTCTGTCAGGTCAAGTTGAGATCGTGTGGTGAGTGATTTAAGGACTTCTATGTTGTTCCAGGAGATGGAATGTCCAGTGGTTAGGGCATGATGGGCGGGGGCGGATTAGATCCTGTCTGTGGTTTCGTCGAAGGCATTGTTGAGTCTGTAGCATCGTTCGTGTTCTTTCATTCGTTGGATGAGGGGTCTGTAGGTCTGTCCAGTGTACTTGGAGGGACATTGTGAGCAGGATATCTCGTAGATGGTGTTGGGGTGAGTTGAGTGGGGGGTGTGGTCTTCGTCTTGGTGAGAAGGTTGCGGAGAGTAGTGGCTGATGAGTGGGTCACTTTGATGTCGTGTTGTCCGAGTATCTTGGAGATAGGTTTGGAGAGTGAGGGATGGAAAGGAAGGGAAACGCTGATTGCGTGATCTCTGGTCTGTCGGTTGAATGAGGCTAAGGACTGATGTCGGGGAGGGTTGGTGAACTTGCGGTGAACTTCGTCCATGATGGTGGTGATGCGGAGGGGTGGGAAACCTTAATGAAGGCTTACTAGACACGCCCTCATAAAATGGCCGGGTAATGCTGTACATTTTATATTTGCCACACTTTTGGGTAATAGTTACGGTCTAGACTCTAGGTAAAGAGTTTCGACAGTGTCAATATGTCTAGCTACTAATTGTTAATGATGATCTCTGATCTTCGTGAAATACTAGATTTACCTGAGGAGCGAGAGCTATTACCCAGGTGGTAAGTGCGACAGTTTTACTGACCGAAACTGACATCAGGGTCCTCACATCACAGTGCCTGAGGGAGATTAATGTCTGAATTTACTGGAATAATTGCACCACATTGACTTCACTTAATCTCTGAACAGGAGCTCGAAATTAACATAGTAGTTCAACATTGTCCGTCCAGACACCATATTTGAGTCGTTGTTCTAAAGTTTTAATGTCATGAGCCAGCCCTTGCGAACATCTGGGTTACTTAATCATAATATTAATGCTGAATGTACTGTTATAAGCCTCAGAAGTAACACGGCTGAATATTACATCTATATATTATTAACTTGAACAATAGACTTTTTTGCTCACATCTGGACACATCTATTCTAATATATGATATTCTTTCTTCACAATTACAGTAATATAATGTAAAAATACACATAACGTAAAAAAAGACACAAAAGACTTAAATATCTTACACCTGGATACATTTGATCTCTTCTAATATTTAATATTCTTTGTTCACAAATTACACACTAATTTATAATCTAAAGATTACGTTACATTATATGACACTTATTACTTTACACAATGATACAACTTATGACAATATACTAACTTGACGACCAGCATATCAAGAGCAAGGATAAGAATGTGCAGGAAGTAGACGGTGTAGAGGTAGGAGGAAACCAGGGCACAGAACCAGCACCACAGACTCTGAAGGTCCCATACTCGAGCTATCACCGAGTAGCTCACAACTGAGATTGTGTTCAGTTTAGACTATATACTTTTGTTTTATCATGTTGTAAGTATTGGGATATTTAGAAATTTTGTATTGAGCAACTTGCTAAAAACTTTCTTCTTCTTGATCCCCATTAAATTATTGTGGAATTGATAGGATTAATGTGGAAAAATTAACCATAGGTTCATTCATAGAAAATGTATTGTTCATTCACAAAAAGTTATGATAAAAAAGTAACACTAACGTGGGTAAATAAAGAAACTGATGAACAGTTGGTTGAAACTTAATGAAGTTACAAGGACAAAAGTCAAACTATCGAGCTCAGGGCACCTCTCCCAGATAGCCAACAAGATAACACATCCATTTGAAACGAAGGAAAGTATCGTCAGTCCCAGGTACACGATACACAGCACTGAAATGTAAGTCTAGTTATGATTTGCTCTGTGATTGTTTGAAGTTGAAAATGGGTATTCTGGAGGGTTGCCACACAATAAGGCCCCCTGAGATTTAGCTACCTATAGACGATTAACCAAGACCAATCAGTGGCTGATCGGTCTGACACGTATTAACCGGTCAACTAGAATTACAGGCAATAAGGCCCCTCGGTTATCATGTATCTGGTGCATACTATGCCACCGTTCTGGAGCTCAAATACTCCCTTAAAATGAACAATTTTGAGTAAACGTTTGGGGTTCTATCACGTAACGCGCTTTAAATATCAAAATAAATCTACCAACTTGACTTTAAATAGATTGGCTCCCGAATCGTTTAACTGTCAAGTGTCAAGATAGGAAGACAGCTGCAGTTAACGAATATATCCCAAGATACGAATTAAAAGTGATGTAACTAAAAACTCACCGACAGATTCGGCGATGTTTCTGTCAATAGCACACAACATCGACTCCGAGAGCGTGTAGTTTGCGGGTTGATAGGACAGCTCATCTCGTCCACAAATTATCATCTCTGGTCCCCCATGTTATTTCTTAAATCTAGCTGGCAAGCTGACTTTGGTATCTGATCGACACTCTAAACTTGTTTATCTAAATTCTAAAGTGCTACACTTCAACAAACATACCACCTTCTGAGGATATTTCGGTAAATTAAAGATTAACATTTGGCATTATAAACATTGTAAGCAAATTCCCAACGAAAATACTCGATCGGTAATCGCACTATATAACGACATCTCTTTATTGCGACACCACTCGGGCACTATAATTATATTTCGAATCAAACAATCAAGCAAAGCACTTTAAGAGACGATACCCTGGTTTGGAGTCAACAAAAAAGGATCTTTGTTTGCAGACGATTGACGTCACGGGGCCCTTTTAGCCTACAAACATATTGTAACCGGGCTATTTAGTGACAGCACTATGTAGTAACAAGGGAAATTTAGTGACAAATGAGATCTGTCACTATATAGTGCACCAGCTGTACTGGATAATGACAGCGCTATTTAGTGAACTAGGACTCGTCTCTTTTACTACAGCTTCTTTTGGTCGTTTTAGATCGTTTATTTTTCGTATATCGGGATAAAATGGGCCGAAGGTATCGAGTTCATCCCGGGCTAATGAAGAAATGAAAGAGGACCAGCAAACAGAGAAGATATACTCGGTTAATGGAACCATGGTATATAGAGGATTTGTCTATACCGAACTTATAAAGGTCAGGACAGTAAATGTAATTGACCAGCAAACAAATAATCACACTCCAGTACTTAACTCGATGGAACTAACAAAGAAACGGTTTATAATTCAAAACGAAAACGGATAGTTTTCTATAGAACGAACCGCCTCATGAAATATCGCGTTCTGAGCTGTGCTGCAAATTGCAATTAACGACCACAAGAACTCTACGTTTTGTGCGATGTAGCTCTCATGTTGCAACGGTTAAGCAGTTAAAGACATCTTAAATGCAAAGAATAATATCTAGATTTAATATTGTACGGATTTTAGAACAATATTTAGATTTGTAAGGAAAAATATTAATAGATGTAACAGTAAGGAACAATATATAGATTTAATATTGTAAGGATAAATAAATAGATTTAATTGTACGGAACGGTGTCTAGATTTAATTGTAAGGGACAATATCAATATATGATTGAATCCCTAGATTCAATCATATAAGGGACAATATCTATATTTAATTGCAAGGAACAATATCTACATTCGGCCGCATTAATTCATTAAATACATTTGCTGTTCGAACAGTCAGTTCTTACGAAGATCTGACAACAAAGACCACGACAAAAGACGGGAAGTTGCCGAGAAGAGCCCAAATTCACCGGCGGTTCCGATCTAGGAGCACATTATAATGTCAATGATTGTACCGACAGTCAGGACAGGTTGACAAGATCATTACGACTCTCTCGCCAACCAAATTATCGGGCCGTCATCTTTCATTAAAAGCAATTTAAGCTACCGCCGTGTTACAGTTGACAACAAGCTTTTTCTTTTCTGATATAATAATGCATTGACTGTGAGACAAAGCCGCTCATTTCCGGCTATGGCGGCTGGTATACAACTATACAAACATATTGTAGTTTACTTCGCTATATTTGATTTATCATATTCACCATTTGTAACAAAGATGATATTCAGCGGAATGTGTCTCTATACGAGTTTATTGTCAGACAGATGTCAGTGCGTCACTAATTATAATTATAGACTCGAACTGGTTTATTTTTAGCGACAAGAACTCTATAATGTGAGCCATAAGAACTTAATTGATGTGTTACAATAAATGAAAATTATCGATCTACAAATAGCTGATCACTTTGAAGGGTGGGGCCAATGGCATAAAATTAAAATGGCATACTTATCAATTTACCCTAAGGTTTTTCCATTTTATCCAAAGAAACTTATACCATTTTATGCCATTTTTGAATTTAAAATTTTTTTAAACCAATCTTAAACGTTTTTGGTTTCGTCTCGCCAAGCTGATTATTTTTAGAGTTATATCGCTAGACTAGAATTACTAACAATTTTACTTCAATTTAGCATCATGCCAAAGTTTGCTGGATCATGCCTCTAATAGTCGCTGAAGGTTCATATCCGATTTAATAATTAATATATGGACGAGATCTTACAAACAAAAATCATCGGTCCCGGTCCTAGGCTGTAATGCATGGTTCCTGAACACCAGAAACGGAGAAGTTCAAACTAATATTAGTAACTGAACTACGTAGGTCAACTTATCTCAAATCGACCCAAAACTATCGAACAAAAATCTTTTTAAAGTTTTAGTCAAATAGTTTTCCTCCCCAGTGCACCACAAAAACAAACAACACTTGCTATTGGTATTTCAATCAGATGAACAACGAAGTAGATCATATTTTGGTAAATCTGTGCATTATAATGGGTAATTATGTTGGTGTAATAAATTGTGCGTTAGTTTAACAATATATTTTATAACATGCTGCGGTACATTTGTAGACTATCTTTACGATTAAATAAAATGCCTACACTCAATATAAAATACAAATCGACCGAATTTCCTGTTCCTAATTTTTATGAAACCATGATAATTAAATTGTCGACCGAATAAGTGGCTTGTGCTAGGTAAAATATATTTATAGAAATAGGGAGGGTCCTTTACGGGATGACTACTTAAAGTTAAAGAGACAGCAAATTAAAACTAGGTATAAATAATTTGTAATAACTTAATAAGGTGTGTCACTGACACACCTTCAGCTCCACTAATCACGCAAGAAAGATTTCAGAAGGAGAATGAAATTCACAACAAAAATATCAGAATAAACATGATATCCGCTCCCAGCATATACAGTATACATCTATATAACACTGAGCACGTTCAACTCCTTCTACAAGCCCCGACAAAATCAATAGCACAGTGACGAAATGAAGAGAGGAAGATTGTATTAACCAGTCAATGTTACATGATGCTGAGATCGGAGAGCACCTGGTATCTCGTGTGCTCGCACTAGACACACGATTAGTGGGAGAGCAGGACGCTCCGTTTTCCAGGGGCAACCCGTCAACTGTAATTAACATGACATGTGCAGTATAAATGGCATTGAATCTGTTGGAGGGGAGCTGGGCTGATTCAAACTATCAGTAATTTCTTGATTAAAGATGTCCCAAATATAAGGCGGATTTATTGAAGTGCCGCGGTCCTGCCACTGCTTGCTACACATTACAGATTACACAAAGATCATGGGAGGAGCCATCCCCAATCTTCGTACGAAGCACGAAGCTTGAATATACTTCGTATTAACAATAGAGCTAGATAAGACTAAGAGCTAGATAAGACACAGTGTTCACTCTTACTCCGTTGGAGTGAGAATACTGTCAGGCGTGAATTATACAAACTTTTATACCAGCCAACAATACTGATATAATCACAAATCACTCTTCAGGATATAAACCACAAACGCTAACAAACCACGACAGTGTGTTGTGCAAACATCCCCACCACCCACAAAACTAATACACACCTCTCGTAGTGTACAAACAACTAAGAGGGGCTAATTTCCCTTGTGAATTGATCGAGCTGACCACCCTATACGGCTTACGTCAAGTCAATCTAAGATCAAGTCGAAAGATCGGGCAGCTCTAACAGTACTACAATCGAAATGGTAGGTAGAAATGCAATCAAATAAAGGGTCAGATTAATCAAAGCGCAGCTCCTGCGATCCACAAACATAAAAGTGAGCACAGGATATATAACAGTGTATGTTGTCCTGGCAGTCTGGCCACCCAATCAAATCAATGCACCATACACCTGATACTGATAGTAATAATGGAAATAAAGACCAAAAATCAACATATGCCCCAGCTTTAAGTATACTTCGTTATTACAGAAAAGCGTTTGAATACCCAGTAGAGAAACACGAGTTGCCAGTCTCAAGCTATTTTAAATCTGATGTTGACTGTTGAGGCATTATTACAACTAAATTGAGGCATTATTACAATTAAAAGTATAATACTGTTAATAAGTTCGGGTACGAGTGGTAGCGGTACCAAGGTGTTATGTTTAAACAGCTAACCACTATCACGAGCAGATATATAAAATTACCTTCCTCGATTCCTCGAATTCACAAGAAATATAATACCAACAGCACGTTACATCGCAATGATATTTAATATTCATTTGGACGGGTAAAAAATTAGTGAGAGATCAAAATGTTCCATGTAAAACCGCTCATGCTGTGATTACTTTTCATCCTGCTGAAAATACGCTAGGCAAACTAATTAATTGTAAAAAGAGAGAGAGCCATTTGATTTTCTCTCCACATAACAGCACACTTAGGCCCCATTATCACCGATAAGGGCCCTGTATAATAAAAATCAAGAGCACTATCAGATTTTAGGCAGGTAAATAAAGGTAATGTATACACATTACTACCGTATTACAAATAAACCGCAACGTCGAATATTATAATGTCTACAGCTGGTGATTAAAACAAGTGTATTGAATTTAATGGTCAACATGAAAATTTTCTTATACAGGTTCATTCTTTTGTTTTATAGCGATAATCAACTTCAGTAGAGAACTTGTAAAATACCGGTTCAAAGATTGATCGCCTAGAAACGGAATAAAAACAATTCGGTTGCAAGGTTTAAATACTGTTGACACGATTGGTTCTTTAAAACTTGGGTTTGTCACCGCCCATATTTCCGCTCACATTGTGTGCAAATTTTCATTTAGTGGTGAAGAAATCTTTAAAATCATTTGTCGCTATTTGTCGCCATTTGTCGCCCAAATTTATTGAAAGACTCAAAAATAACCAATTAAGGACCAAGAAATTTAAAACACATGCACAAAACATAACGACTATGAATTCCTTGACAGTACCGAGAGAGAGAGAGAGAGAGAGAGAGAGAGAGAGAGAGAGAGAGAGAGAGAGAGAGAGAAGGGTATCTGGAGGCGCTCATGACTTTGAGCAACACATGCCAGAGCTCCCTTGTAACAATTTAACTAAGTGACGTGCAGTGAGTGGAGGGTTTGGGTTCCAGGTGCTGCTTTAAATGTTAAAACGTTTTATTATTAATATTAGTCCCGAGGGGCGAGCTGTGTTGTGGGCCGCAAGAGGTCAGGTACAGAAGAGAAGTGCTATA